GTGTGTGTGTGTGTGTGTGTGTGTGTGTGTGTGTGTGTGTGTGTGTGTGTGTGTATGTATATATATATATATCTATACCTATGAAAATATACCGCCAAGCCGGCACGGCAGGCGGCGAGCAGTTCGCGCTTCGTCGCCGGCGGCTGTTCATTGGATTCTATTTCGAATACAGGCACAACGAAGACTACACCGTGCTTGGGCGGTTTTTGGTGCACCATCTCCATGAAGTCAGAAGCCAATCGCGCACTCGGTAACAGCTCGATATCTGACACAAGCACGCGAGATGTGTTCGCCATCGCTCTCGCTACATTCCGGGTGACGTTGATGGGATATGTCATTCTCCTCTTCCGCCTCTCGGTCTCGGCCTGCCGCCATTGAAGATCAGAGGCAGCGCAATCACCCTGTATACGACTGATTGCACTCAGGGCGGGCGGTCGACCGGCCGGAAACACCAGGTGGACGGAAACCTGCAATTGTATCATGTGTTGCATTGTATCATGTGGTCATTAAATAAAAAGGATTATAATGAATGCGAATTTTATGTACATCGTATAATATACGAGAAAAGGGCGGAAGGACAACAAAGACATGATATTGTATCCAAAATATATATAGAGGAAATCTTATATCAAAAATGTTATAAATATATTATACATTGACCTAAAATCATAAGGATAAAGTATTCTGAATAACAGAATTTTATATTAAGCTAATTGAAGATTGAAGAGTAGCGCTATTCACACGAATTAAATATCTGATTCTTAAATTATTCATATTTGATTGTTAAAGTTATTGAATAACAGATCATAAATTAATAATAAATTTTTAAATAATCATTTATATTTGTGTTAAACTTTTATCTTTATAAATTTATTAGAGATATTTTGTATCATTTAATACGTTAATTAGATAAACTGTAATCGTAAAATACGGAGTATTATACAAGTATAAGTATATACGATACTTCTATGATTTACCATTTATACATTCTTAATCAGTTTTAATAATCTTAATTAATTAAGACGATTTATATTCTGCATTATAGATTAGAATGATTATACTAATCACAAACAAGCATTTTGATAACGGAATTTGCGTCTATTTACTATCACACAACATATTTCATCATATTACTTTCTTTGTCACATGAATAATTTTGCGTTACATCTAGAAAATTATTTTAAGAAATGTACAATATTAAATTAAAACACAATGTGTAAGAAACATAAAAAAAGAAAGCTAAATTATGTGCATTCCATGTACACAATATTGTGCCTTATACATTACATTTAAGCAAACTACCTAGTAAGATTTAATTTTGACTAACAAAAAAACTTTATATACAAAAAATTTCTCTTGTACGATAATAAAGTGTTGTAATTTTTTTTTTATATTATATATATATAAGTGATCTAAAAGCGCAGATTCTCGAGTTCTCGCATTATTATAACGAAAGCATGAAAACTTTGAGGGTCGAGCATAGCATTGTACTAATTGGTAAGAGATTCGCGATCGAGACAAGGAAATTGAGGAGACCTTGTACATGGCAGGCTCGCAACGACAGGCTCGATCAAGCTGAACGACAGCGAGGCCGGCGTCGAGGCCTGGTGCAAATACCGCCAGGCTGAGCGGTCCTTCCCACCGTCTGGCGAGTTCCACGATTCCGTAAACCTGATCGGCGGTGGCGTGTGTGGACAGCGTGACTTGGGGTAAACTGTCTGTCGCTTCAATGGCACCAAGCAACACGAATGGTAGAACCCTGCACGAAGAACAAAAATTTCGCTATCGCAGCAAAATCATCGCATGATACATTCAACGCGAAAGCGACCGAATAGCAAAGAGAGAAAACTTCTACTATAGGATATATATATATATATATA